CAGGGAATGATTTTGCAAGTTTGCTTCCTGTCCCAGTTACAACATTATTGCAACTCTGAGGAAAAAAGAATGCAAACCAAACTGTGGGTATCCTACATTACTGCAGAATGTTGTGTGATAGCAAAAATAGACTAATTCTCTAGGCAGACCTTCAACTGTTTCAATGATATCATTACTGAAATCTTCTTTGTCACTATTTGGCAAATATTATCCACCCATATTGGTCTTTAAGATATTCTGTTTCTGGTACTATTTTTTAGATTCTGGTTTCAATGCATGCAGTAACAAGAAAACAAACTGTATGTCTGCTGACTGTATTTTGACTTATGAACAGCGTGAGACTAATTTTTCATTACCACTTCTGACTGTAGATAGAATCTGTACAAAGCGGTAGCTAGCAGCATCCAGAACATTACCCTGCATAACTTAAAGTTTATGTACAGCTGTATCTTATAAGCCAGGCTAAAGTTTTCAGCATTTCATGGTAGCTCCTGATATTGTATGTATTTTTCTTATTGCTAGTAAGTCTATTTGCTGTTCTATAATTCCTCTTTTTAAAGATCCAGTAGTAAAAGTATATTAATACAAATTGTTTCCAGCACCTGTTGGGTTCTCACCCTTCTTTTATAAGTTGCTCAAAACCAAGGCAGTATCAATGTGAAAACTATATTTATATTTGTGCCAGGAAACAGTGTTATGGTTAGGTGCTAGCCAATATGCAGCAGAACAAAAACAGGCATTCTGTTCATAAAAGTACAATTAAATCAGAAGACATAAAAAGATTGGTTAAAAATTTTCAAAGCTAAACATAATTTTTAAGCTTTTAAGTAATGTGAGAACAAGCTAGTTAGAGTAATTGTTTCAGGAAACTGAAATTTTTCAGTCAGTTGAAATTACTTTATTTCCTCCCCCGTCCTAAGCCTTTAACTTTTTGCATGGCTAGAACAGTGAAAAGCTATGCTTGTATCTCGTCTCTTCAAGGTGTAGTACAAGGCACAGTGCAGAAATAGAGTGGGAGAGGTGCAAGGACTAGACCAGTAACTTCTACAGCAATTGGAGGCATTGCTGAAGGTTTCTTCCTTTACTGACTGTGTATGGGAGCTTGATCAGAACTGCTGCTTGGCTTAACCTGTTCATTCATTGTTGATGCCACTGACCTGGTTACTGTGGAATTAAATGGAAACGGTATTTTTCATCAGTGAGTTTTCTTTAAAAAAGGTAAGGAGAGAGAGATTTTATAGTCTCCATGTACGGAGGAAAATGTAAAAAATCCACTCTTATATATGGGTTTTGGATGTTACTGACTTTTTATACAAGATCTCGCTACAGAAGTTTTGTCAGACATTCTCCTTTTGTAGAGATCAGATTTTTAAGAATAATGACAGTTATTAATATGCATTTCAGAGTGCCATCTCTCAGGGAGGATGAATTTTATTAAATAAAAATACCCAATGCTTTTGTTATGTTTGAATGATAAAGACAGCAAAGTGTTACAATGACCACCATCGAAAGATACAGTAAATTGTGAGGAATACAATAGACATATCAAATGCATTAATGTCTGTACTGAATAGATCAGAAACACACACTAATTTAAGCTTCTTTAACATATTAACGTAAATCAAATGGCAATAAAAAAAAACAGTATGTTTTTTTATATGTATACTGTATATACATATGTATGTAGTATGAAGTATGAAGTATACTGTATGAAGTATCTTAATATATTCTACACATTTTTTTCTTGCATGAAATGTAATAATGTGGATATAAATGTTAAGTCTTATTCAGTGGTGTGATCAGCTTCATTAGGTAAAAGGCAGTATCTCACAACATATACAGAAAATGTCCTATACTGCTTACCTTCTGCATACAGTTTTGCTGTTTAACCTCTGTCTTAACGTAGACTGTATATTTCCACAACAAATTACAGCATTATAATGGCACAGAATATTTTCCTCTTGTACAGCTGGGAGCCAAGTAACAGTTGTGTAACATGCTCACCACAGATCATCTTCATAACTAGGTGAAACTTTTGAAGTTCACTGGTATTGGACCCTAACATGCACCCAGAGTCAGCATTGGAGTCCACCTTCCCTGTTAGAACATAAGGCTCAGGATGAAGTTGCTCAGTGCTATGACACTGATTGTTTATTTTTGAATTAATTCTTTGATAATAATTTGTCACACTACATAGAGAAAACATTGCTGCAGTTTCCCTTTCTTTCCTTATGCCAACCAAAGAATGTGCATATGTCTGTGGGTGTCATTATTTTTGGCCATTCCAAGACAGGATGAAACCTGGATGAGTCCCATCAGTCAACAATGCATTTTTTTGTGAGGGGATGAGAGATGGTGGTAGCACTAGATGGCAAAATACTTTTCCTGTTCCCATTTCATTATCACAAGGAGAGAAACATTCTATTGTTCTTTATATTATGTATGTATTCTCAATATTGTCAGTGAGAAAAATTAGTAATCCATGAAAGTAGACTGAAGGTTAAACATATATGTCTGAGTATGTATGCATGAACACATGTACACATCTGCATTCTAACATATAAAATTAAACATAGGCTTTTTCTTCTTTTAGTATGAACCTTGGGTCTTGTTCTCACTATAATGATAGCTTGATTAATTTACAGTTGGCTAAAGCTTCACTCAAGTTAGTCTGCCTTGAATGAGAGACTGCTTTGTCATTCAAAGTAGTTGTGCTCAGATAAACAGCAGAGAAGTCCAGTCATGTCTCATTACCAGCTACAGAGCTGGCTGCATGGCTGTACGCTGGCTTTATGCCACACTTCACTTATGAGCCAACTAAAATCAAGAAACCATTTTCTCTTTGGAAATCTCCCTTCCATGCAGCAATTTTAGATTTTTCCTGCTGGAGGAAATAAGCAGAAAAGGGAAAGCTTGCCATTGCTTGAGGAATTAGTAGCATTCATCCAGCTTGCCTGATCTTAGATTAAAAACCAATAACTGACTAGGAAAGGAAAAGCAAAAATTTACTGTTTTATGTTTTTGTTACATCAGTACACCAAGTTCTGTCAAATAAAGAAGTAAATGTTTCAGAAACTATGTTATGTTTTCATCCACACAAAAAATATGGAGAAACAGTGCAAGAGAATGCAGAAAATTAAAGAGAAAATCTTTCATTTCTTAGACACTGCAGATGAGCTGTCAATATCCAGGTGAAGGGTCGTAAGAAAGGAAAGAGTCATGGATATGGAGAAAATCTGTTTAAAATGAGAGACAGAGAAATATGAAAGGAAGTGAATTAAAAAGGAAGGGAGACCTGAAGAGCTACTAGTGGGAATATAGATGTGCAGGAATAGTGTGTGAAGTGATGTTGACTGTGAGATGAGAAGATGACTGCACTGGCAGAACACTGTTCAGGATGATTCCACAGGCCTGCAGTGCTCTGTACACCTGTGGTGCTTGGTCATGGGGTGGTTCTCAGCTGGGAAAGACTGACATTTTCCTATAGGTCTGACAGCGTAACGGAGATATTTAGGAATGTGCTTGGTCAGATGGGTTCCTATTCTTTCAGTTTATGCTCTCTGGTGCACTGTTTATACCTGCACTGGTAAACAATACCAGGGGCACTGGATGAGGCAGCTCCATGGGACTAATAAGCAGGGAAAACCACTCTTTTTGCCTCTGACCTCTTTTTGACCCTAGAAAGTGAGTAGAGGTGTCTCCAGATATATGAAGGACAGACCTCTCAGGTAAAATGGACTGCTTTTACAGTTACTTTTCTGATTATATTAGCCTTGTTTTTGCTAAATCACTTGAAGATAAAATCAGCAATTTACAAAAGAAATCCAAAGAGACTGGTATCAAACCACTGTTTTCTAAATAAGTAGATAGTCCTGTACTTTCTGTTTATTTGTTTTGTTAGTTAAGACATCTAGAATACTTTTACTCCTTCAAACACCGGGAAGAGAAAATTGACAATTTATTTTCAAAAGAAAAAATCTGTGTTTATTCAGAAAAGAGATTAGGGCAACTACAGTAAGAAATTCTAAGTACACTGTCTCACATGAAAGTAAGTTAAAAAGTAACTTGAAACAGCAATTTGCACCAAGTATAGATCTAAATACTTTTGTTTGTAAATGGTTGTAGTTACTGCCTGTAATAACAACCATGATGCTATGGAATCTCAAATTCACTAATACAGCCTTTGCAGTGATTATTGATATGAAGCTTCCACAGAAACATGGGTTTCTTAGCTCTCTTTGCATAAGGTTACTAGTTACACTACTGAGATATGGCTTATCAGCTGCTGTTTCACAGCAATACTCCAACTTATGCCTGAATTTCACAACAGAGAATGTGTATCAAATACATTTATCTTAAAATGAGTAAATACAGGCCAAAAAAATATTCTTTGTTTTCTTAAACATAGGTTTCTAGATACACAATTCAGTGTGTATATAAAACACACCCCCACATATTAGCTTAGCTGCTTTGTTCAGTTCCTGTTTTTCCTGGAAATAATAGCAAGCCCCTCATCTGCCTCAGAGATAATGATTTAGTAATGCAGGCTCTATTGTAAACTCACAGCAAGGTGAGAATTAAATAAAAATTTATTCAGCAGAAACATATGCAAGGACAGAACTGCTCTATAAGGAAATTGCTTATCTAGCTGACACTGGTTGTAGTTCAATACTGACTTAAAATTTCAAGACTAGTAAAAGAAACAAGTTCTCAGATGCTTATTTTGATGGATAGCTAGGGACTAGGTATATTGCTTGTTAGTTTTCATATACTTTTTAAAAATTGCTCTATTGCAGATCCTTAAGAATTTTTTGTGCCTTTGCCTGAGTTTCAGCTTACATTAGGTTCTGCGATCAGCTTTGGGTACACTTTGATCTGTGTATTATTGTTTTGGGACACTATTAATACCATTGTTAGCTGGTGTTTAAATCTATCTATAGATAGATATTTGTTTATTAATCTTCTCATTATGCTGACTATGGTTTTGTGGTCTTTTTCAGTGTACCTTGAGGACAGTTTTGTGAAATCCGGAGTATTCAATGTGTCAGAACTTGTGAGAGTGTCAAGAAGTAAGTTAACATTTGTGCTTAATTGTTTCCAAAGCCTGCTATAATCAAGTGAAGGCTTTTTCCTTGAACTTTTTTTTCCACAAGATGTAAGATGCATAGGAAATGCCTATAAACATGCACAATTTTGATATATTTTACAGTCCATCTTGCACATGTTTGTAATAAAACAAATGGATCTTCTATCTATTTGATATTTAAAGATGGAATAAATTTGTTACATCTCCTTCTGCACACCTAGTGGTCTGATGTCTTAATAAAATTACTATATGCAGCAAAACCTATGGTTAGACTTAACAGTTTAAAGGATGCCCTATACATCCTTGGGTATTGCAGAAAGATCAGACTATTTTATTTTTTTTTAAATTTGTAGCTCTTAAAATAAAAATCACAGTATGGATATAAAGGATGATCAACAATGTAGGAAATATTTGTGTTTCTTTTAGTCTTAGCATTGGCTGTAACTGAATTTCTAATGACATTGTTTTGTTTTGGCATCAGAGATATTACACACATGAACAGGTAAAAACCTTCATAAAATTAAATATAAAAGTGCAGGTGAAGCTTCGATTGCAAAATGAAAAACAAAAAAGAATACAAGCTCTCTTTTGTTGACATCTAATAATTGTTATAAGAGTATAGCATAAAACATGTCCACATTTTCATTTTGCGTTGCTTCTTGACCCTTTTTTTTCCTCCCTTTACTATCAACACCTATTAAAGTAGTTCTCTCAAGACTTCATTTGGAAGTAGAGAAGAATAGTTGAAAGCTATTAGTTAGAAGCACCCACAGTGATGATACAACATTGTAAAGACTGAATGGTCCAGAAAAATCACTTTTCTGGTGAGTGAGGACAAAGTCAAAGAGGCTTCCAAAATTTCTAAAATGTCTGTCCATATTTAGCACAGGTGTTAATCCCTGCAAGGTCAGGTTGCTTGAGGAATTTAATTTACTTTCTGAGGCTTCAGATGCATGGGTTATTTAATTTTCTGTGGTCAGAAATGAATATTCAACAATTAAAATTATGTTAAATTCTTCAGCAAAATAGTAAGCATTGCAATCCTGCAGTGCTAAGGCATATCCTTTTTTGTGCCTGCTTAAGATATAGTTTTGCTGTTTTAGAAAGCTGAGGATGTGTGAATTATAGCTTTCTTTTTGTTGTCAGATGGTTAAGTAAATTTTAAAGTATAAGGCCATTCAGGTTAAAAAAGAAACAATATTGTAATTATGCTATGAAACTCTGCATTATGGAGCTGTTATACATTATATATGTCTAATAATAAGCATTAAAGGATGTGGTTTCTGTGGGATTTCTTACCATGCATTTGTTTAACCTCAAGCTGCAACAGAGTTGTACTTAAACTGTCAGGAAAAATACAAACCTTCAAATACTTTATACAATGTGCAATTATTCTTTCAAGTGCCAAAGGTAGTTAAAATGCACAATGCACAGACAATGAACAAAGGTAAATACACCACAATATGTAATACATAATTTATTCCTGAATTACCAGAGTCTGTATGGTACACAGACTCTTTAGGGTGGTGAAGGTAACACTGACTGTGTGTATTTGCATGTAGGTGTAGATATGCAAAGCACAACCTATGGCGCAGGGTGAAAGAAAAAGAAGGCAGAAAACCAGGCTTTCAACACAGAAGGCTATTTTTAATACATAAGAGTTAACATTAAGGAAAATGAAATATTGTGTATCTAAGTTTCTTCTTTCAATTTTTTTCAGTTCTTTAATAAATAATACTAGCTGTCCTCATAAACCTGGCCTCATTCATTATAGTGCTTAAGGTTTGTATTATCTTTTCCATATTGGTGATGCCATATTATCTCTTATAAAATAAATGTATTCTATCTGCATAACTGCTAAGTAGAGTACTACAGAAGACAATTTACTTTTTAGATACATAATCATTGATGCAACTTGTCTGTACTTGGTTTCCAGAAGAGGCAGAAAATTAGGTACATGTAGTAACATCTTGACATTTTCCAAGTATTAAAAAAGAAAAGATAGCTAAAAAGATAGAAGATTATCTCTGATTTTGTATGATGTGTGTTTCAGCACCCATAACCCAAGGAAGTGGAGTAAACTTCCCAATTGGAGAGCTTCCAAGCCAGCCATATTACCATGATATGAATTCAGGTGTAAATCTACAGAGATCCTTGTCCTCTCCACCAAGCAGGTAAAATCTTGAAAAAAAGTGCTAATGTGAACCATGTTTAATAGTGTAGGACAAGCAATTCACAAATCTTGTAAACAATCAACTGCTTTGTTAATTTCCTCTGATTTTGTGAGGCTAGCTACTTGTATATGTTGCCATAATCTCCGTACAGACTTGTAAAGTATAAATTTTGTCATTTGAAATGTTGTCATTATTGCCTGTCATCTTGCATGATATTGAAGATGCTGGTAACTTTTTTCAGGGTTTGAAGTGCCCACTCGATCATCTTGCCAGGAGAACAGCTACACATCCCAAAAGTGTTGCTGAGCTGCAGGAAGGGTTAGCACTTGGGAACATGCTGGCAGGGTTCAGAGTGGTTGCAGGCAGAATGGTTGTCTTTCAGGGTTCCCTCTTGGACATTTGTCTTGCAAGATATGTTTGGACAGATACTATTTCCTGTAGAAAAGATGTTAGGACAGGTCTATAAATACAAGTGTTTTCATCCATAACAGCCCAGCTCATGCAACAGTGTTTTATGCCTCACTTTTTCAGGCAGCATTTCCCAACAGAGTGGAAAGAAGGAGGAACATGTGAGATAGTTACAGGTTGATTTTTCTCGAGTCTCCCTTTGCCTGCTACAGGCGATTTAATCTGAGGGACTGACTTCTTCCTTGTTCAACATGCTCCCTTCTCCCATCTCTGAGAAAAAGTCCCATTTCCTCCCTTGGGAGGAGCTGGTGGGCCCACAGATGTAGGGCTGTGACCTCCTCCTGGCTCCCAGATAAAGTACCCTAGGGCCTCTAGGGTCAGACCCCTAGGGCCCCGTGGTTTTCTGAAACTGTCTGCTATACCATGAAATCACAAGCTCTAAAGGAGCTGTCATTGTCCCACATTTCTGCACCTGTCAGTCAGGAAGTGTCTGCACAGTGGGAGAGGATTTAACAGGACTATCAGGGGGCTTAGGTATTCTTCCACCAGCACTTGATTCTTCTGAGTTATTTTGCTCATGATCCTGTATTTCACTCCATCATATTTTCAGCTTGGCAGTATACCAAATACATTTTAGAAATTGATGGATTAATTAGAATACATGGATTAATTATCACAGTGTAGCAGTAGTAGTTATAGTAGTAGTAGTATTAGTAGTAGTAGTAATAGTAGTAGCAGTAATAATAATAATAATAATAATAAAATAATAATAGTACCACACCATTAAAACCTTACTCTGGTTTTCTTTGGTAGTCAGTATAACAGTGTCAGTATATATTGCTATGAAGAAACTTCACTTTCCTCCACTGTATTGAAGTTCTGTCTCATTTTATGTAGTGTGACTTGAAATATGGGCCTTTTGTTACTTTTAATTTAACTAGTCATAAATGAAAAGTGTTTGTTTCAGACTAGCCCTCTTTGAAAAGCTTGGGAGTTTGACCTGATGAAATACAGTAAAGTATATTTTTTCCTTCTTAACACATTCACAAAAGTTCCTGTTCTACCTTGGCCTTATTGGTAGCACTTTCCAGAGACTTGCTTCACTTCAGTGTTCCTGCATAGAGTTTAGTACCTTCATGACACAATCTTTCTTTGGTAGGCTACAGGAACTGGTTTATTGGTTGTTCCATGAAATGCTGTGGACTGTTATATTACCCATTCATGCCATCTTTGACATATTGAGTCATGGGAATAACACACGTGCATACCTGCATCATGTACTATTAACATTGCATGTGCAAGTTAATGTAGGTTTTAATAGCCAGGTTTTTTTTGGTTGTTTGGGGTTTAGTAGTCTGAATTACTCTCTATTAAAATATTTGTAGAGATCCAGAGAGTTTATATATCACTACTAGATGAATATTATATTTACTGACAAATCTCACAATTCTTCAACAGCAAAAGACCCAAAACTATCTCCATAGATGAAAATATGGAGCCAAGCCCCACAGGAGACTTCTATCCTTCTCCAAATTCACCAGCTGCAGGAAGTAGGACATGGCATGAAAGAGATCAAGGTGAGTAGCATGGGATTATTTTACCTCGAATTATGCTCAAATATACAATAAATCACAGCCATTTCATTGCTGCAGTAAAATAATGTTTTTTTAGAAGAATCTTTTTTTCTGTGTGGTATATGTATTTGGTTTGGTAAATGTATTTAAAACCAACAGCCAACAGGATATTGTATAAACAACCACGATAAACAACATTATTATTATTTATACTACATTTAATAATAATAATATCTTTTCTATCTGGTGACAGCCTTATTGTTTGAAAATATGTGTGACAAATGAGGTACTTGATATTGTCTATGCTGTGATTGTCCCAATAGAATTTGGAGTCCAGTGCTTTCAAAAATCAAAACATCTCCTTAATATGATTATTACAACATAAGAGTACACCATTTCTGTATTATAATGACAGGGACATTTAATCTCTACCATGTGACTCAGAATAGATTCAATAGGCTCTTTCTGAAGAGCCCACATCTAGCTCTGTGGGACTCTATCTGTAGGCCAAGGGGGTTGGTAAGTGGTGGCATGTTCTGGGTTATTTAAAGCAACAAACATATTTACATGGAGATGAAAGTTGTGGCTATCAAAAGAATGAAATTAATTGTCATAACTCTCTCTGATGTTATCTTGTGATACTTTATAAACCTAGGTGCCAGTACAGTCTCTTCCCTCCCCTTTGTTATGTGACAATGTGTTTAAACTCATATATTTGAACAGTGTTGGTTAATGGATCCTGTGGCTGAGGTACTGCAGCTGTTTGGAGAGGCTGTGACATATAAAGCATAGTATGTGAAAGAGAAATAGAAGAAAAGACATGCAGTTCCTTCCTTTGTGAATCTTTCAATATTTGTCCTCAGTTTTCACATCCAGTGCTGGTCATTGCTCTCAGTTCTTCAGCAACTGAGTGACCCTTTGGTCTTACCTCATTTTTATATTGTTTTAAAGCCCCTAAAAAAAAAAAAAAAAAAAAAAAACCCGAAAAAAACCCTAATCAAAAAAACCACAACTGTTTTTTTTTTTCCCTGCTAAGGTTCCTCTTTCATCTCCATGTGCAAGGAAGCATGTAACTAGTATTTTATTTAGTTGCCAAACTTTCACGTTTCCATTATAGCGGGTCTCCTTTTAATCTGCTTTCACCTACCTTCTTATCTGTGTTCTTACCATTAGGCTGTCTTCTCACTCAGTGTTAACTAGTTTTTTCCTTCATAATTTCTTTTGTACTTAATTTCTTAGGGAGCCTCTGATACTTATTTTTGACTGTTTGAAGCATTCACTTTTGTATTTTTTAAAAAGAGGCTTGCCTGTGGTTTTACATAGCCTAACTTAAGAAAAGTAAATGGAAGATCTGCCATCCAGAATCTTCCTCCTTATACAACATATTTTTCTTTGTGAATGGTACCTGTTTTGCCATGAAACTTTAATACAATTTTTCGTGAAAGACTGGATCATATCTCAGATTTTTTAATTTCTAGATGAATTATTTGTTGTAGGGAAAGCAGCTCATTCTTCCTCTCTCATGTATCCCCATTTGTGAAATGAAGCAGTTTTGTGCTGCTGTGTGAGCTGTAGGGGCTTCTGAGAAGTGCTTTGCCATATAGACGCCTGAGTGCAAGTCCTGCTGACAGAGCCTTTCACAGGGGATCTCTATAGTTCTCAAGTATCTCAACTGCATTTTAGGTTTGGAATCATTCAGCTTGGAAAGAATTATTTATCATGAACACCGAATTTGTTTGTGTTTGTATGAACTTCACGTTACAGTTATCAGTGGTGAACAATGTTATAATTTAAATTGCTTTAGTGTATTTACAATGAACTTTTACTTAATTTCTGTGTCATTAGGTAGCTAGACTTCTGAAGCGAAACAGCTTCTAATATGTTCCATAAAGCAGGGAACTCCAATATGTGGAAGAAAGAATAAGAAGCTAGACTTAAATCAGTGTGTTTTACTTTGCTTCCTGAAGTTTACATCCCTCCCTGAATGTCCTGTCCTCCAGCAGTAATGGGCTTAATGAAACTTTACCAGCTCTCCTCTGTCAGAGAGGTTGCCTTCAAGTCACTGTTAGGGACTTTCTTTTTTCCGTCCTTAAGATGTTATTCCATTCCTGCAGAGGCACAGATACAGCACTGTCTGGTGCAAAAACCATTGTACTGAGGGAAATAGAAGCCTTTTGTCCCTAAAAAGTTATATTTGCCTCTGATCACTTTCTGAGATTATTGTGCTGCTGAGAGAACACTATAAGTAGTAACTGCAATGACTACCCTTGGTGCCTGGGCTCAGTGTGAAGGGGTGTGGGGCAGCTCCTGGCATATTTTTTCGGCTGCTAGTTTGATAGATGCTTGATATCATCTTCATGGGACTGATTTCACCTCTCTGGTGACCAGTGGTATGACTCAAAGGAGTGACAGATTAGGTTAAATATTAGAAAAAGGTTCTTCACACACAGGGCGGTTGGAGCAGGCTCTTCAGGGAGCTGGGCACAGCTCCAGTGTGACAGAGTTCAATAAGTGTTTGGACAGTGCTCACACACACATCGGGGCTGCCCTGTGCAGAGCCAGGAGTAGGGGTGTGGTGATCCTTGGTGGGTCCTTTCTAGCTCTCATAACTGATGATTCAATTACTTATATGTATCTGTGTAAAAGTTCCTTTCAGACATAGATGTTTTATCATGATATCGTATTTATGAAAACCTATATTCTGCTTCCATATACCTGCAAACACAAAGATAATATAAGTACATTTTGGAGGTGGTTTTTATGCCAGAGATGTCACTTGTGTTACTTCCCTGTTATCTATGTAAATCTGTGTGCTGTATGAGGTTAGGGATAAATGAAAAAGAAATAAGACTCATGGGATCACATTTGCATTTATCCACTGTCAACAAGAAATGATCATGTAGTCACATCAGACACTGCTTCTTCAGGCAATATCCTCAGGTCGTCAGCACCAAAATGCAAATCATATCACAGTACCCAGAAATAAATGTCTCTGGATAACATGTTTATGGGTAAATAGCTTTTCTACCACTCTAATGCAATTCTAACTTTTCTAAGAGAGACATCATCAGGAATAGTGTTGATACTAAAATATACCATTGTTCATTTCAGTTTCATTGTCTCAGTTTTGGACTTGACAGAGAGAGGTTTCTAACTTCTGAAATGAAATAGATTTAGTTTCATCATCACCACAACTAAATGTAAAGTATTTTCATAGAAACTGAAATTACATAGTTTTGAAAAACTCTTTTATCATTAAGGCTTTTCACATCTTTTTTCAACTATTTCTAAAGTAACAGAAATGTCATGAGTATGGTAGTTTGGAACTGGACAGTTGCAATAAAACAATGACATCTGAAACACATTTGAATAAAATATTTAAGATTTCCCTAGGTGTCTGAGAGGCATTCTAATAGTTTTGATAGAGAGAATGAGACAGAAATTAATGGGCAACACAGAAATATACTGAAATTAAAAACAGGACTGAGAAAAAGTTTGGAGTAGGGTGAAACAGGTTAGATCAACCTTCTATTGCTTTGAAAAAAATATTAGAAGTATAAAGTAAGAAGACTTTAGGAGATGAGTGATTTGGTTGTATTCATTAAAGACTTTTAACTTCTCTGTGCAGGCATGCATCATGAGGGTATGGGACATGATTACAGGAGTACTTGTGGTATAGCCAGGATGTAGCATTTGAGAAACTAAGAGAAAGAAATCTAGCCCAGTTACAGTAAAATATTGCTAATACCAGACTCTGCTTTCAGTTGTAAACTCCGACTATCTTTTGCTGTTAACTGTCTTCCTGTCATAGTACTTCCAAAAATGTTTTGATAAGATTTCCAGATGTTGTGCTTTATAGTCTGTTTTGGGGGAGCTGTCTCTTTGAAGTTGTAACTCTGGGCAGAAATAAGCAAGTGTACCCTAAAAATAGTAACTTTATAGATGGCATACACTTGGTAAGAAACAAATCTATGAAGAGTTATGTTACCAATCTGATCTAAAAATATATCCCCCTTCTTATTAACCAAAATTAACATGAAAAATAAGTTTTAATATTTTATTTATTGAAGTTGGATTATTAATCTTTGTAGAAGAAAAGAAAATGTTATGAAGCCATGATACTGTCCTGGAAATTTGCTTCACTGGCTAACATAAAAGTTTGTGACTATTTTAAAAATATATGTAACCACAAGAGTATGTGTAACTGTTTCAAAAACAGATAAAAAAAATGCTGTGGAATTACGGTGTTGTTTTTTATTTTGGAGACATCCAGTCAATGTGGGAAGATTCTGTAGTTTTTGTAATTATTTTTGCTATGTTGAAATGCAAACAATATGCTTCTATTTGTGTGATTTTTTTAAACAAGTTTGAGGTATTCTGGTAGCACAAATAGGCAGGTTTATAACTGCAGAGATATCTCCCAAGACTTTTGCTATTCGCCTTTCAAGTAACTAGCTGTCCTCCAAAAATCCTACAGCCGAAGAAAGGGAAAAGTCATGTCTGAAAATGGTGCATTACTTAGAAGTTGAGCCCTAACATGACAATTGGGATTTCAATTGCTGTATCTTCTATCAGATATTGTACAAGTTATTTTTTCTCTCTTGTCACTTGTTTCTTCCAGCTGGATGCCTGAATAACTTCAATAATGTCTGGATCGTGTCTTAAATCTTCACCAGTTAGAAATTAATCTATGTCTAATTTACTGTAGATCTCTCCCAGTCTTCCTTTCTCCATATTGCTGTTACTGAATTCTTTACTATGTTTCTATATTAAACAAAATTTTGAGATCCTGAACTAGATAGATGAGTTTATGAGATAGATGTAAGTTTCTGCCTGGGTAAAACTGATGGATGTTTGGGAAATTTAGAAATTTTATGCAGTAAAAGAAAATAAATTTCCCCTCACAATTTGGAAGAAAGTCTCTACTGACTAGTGCCGTGGCTAAAGAGTATTTAGGATTTAATAGGCTAATAACTGTTGGTGAATATCTTGATTTACTAACT